AACGAGACTTGACGAACAAATGAGACTTGATCCTGAAAGATGGTACACTTGGGGCAATAGCGAGCAGCAACAAGAGTATGTGAGGATGGGTGATTGCGGAAGAAAGTGATGGTGATGAGAGGAGAAGAGAAAGAAAAGTGCAGATTGTGTCCGTGTGTTGATAAAGAGGTGAACGACTCAGCGACTCAGACAGGGCACATGACGCCTAAGTGCGCTGTCCTGGCGATGCGATATCTCGGCGTCAGTCAGAACTGTCAAGTGCTGGAGCTTCACTACTCATAGGAATACTGCCCTGGCGGCGATGTACCTAAGTTGAAACAAATCATTTGGCCGCACGGTCATGTTCATGAAGCCGCAGGCAAGGTCCTCTTTATTCTGTCTCCATACAGTATTTCTTTATGCCTTTGGGATGAGTACCGACAAGTAAGCCAGAACATGGCTCGTGCCCCTCTACCAACAATCAATCGTCTCTCTTGATCGTTTCGATGCCTGCTACCATTGCCACAGTCCCCTACAACATAGATATCTACAGACATGATCACCAAACATCGATCCCTATCTTCCGTCGCAGCATAAGAAAGCCAAGTCAATTGCCGCAGGAAACCCTATAAGTACACGGAAGAAGCCGAGACTCAGATACACCTCTAACTACTACGTCGTTCTTAGAAGCCCTCCGATTATACGATATGAGAAGACCTACCCGACTCCCTGATGTCTGACAGCATGGTGACGGATCCATCAAAGCGACTGAGAGGTCCCGAAGATGATATTCTACTAGATCTTGCATCTCATATCGGAGATATCCTGCAGCCAGCCTGCGTATGGATTACAGACGGGAGCGCGCCGTTCCGCTGTGCCAACGGAAAAGATACGTGTCTGGGCAGGTATATAAGCGAATAAGCAGTCTTATGCAATGTTAACTGACGCCGATACAAACGGCTGGTGTGGGTTTGAAAGTCTGGAGTATAAGACACTACTATGCGAATCTCTAATCAAAATATTGCTTTGGAGCAAGGCATGTATGGCTAGGACTACGTTACCCGTATGTCTAAGTCAATGGTATACTTTGCGTCGAGTGACCGATGTCGGGCAAAAGTGCGATTGAATTTTGGTTAGGTTCGATCCGACCTCATCTATGTACAATTGGGTCAGGCATGAATACCTTACGAGGTCGGCGTATGCATCATTGAGTGTGACAACTAATGCACATCAGCCTTTCCGACTAGACCTCCTGACAACGTCCACTAATAATAGAATTGCGAGTGTTTACCCTGTCGATATCATACGGATTCTCCTCGTACTGAGTCGCCGTACGACCCAGCGAACGCCCAGACATCTTCGACGCGCGAGACGCCCTCCTGCTCATATCGATCGCAGAGGGAACACTAGACACGCTGGTAGTCTCATTAACGCTTTCCACGTCAACCGCAGCAGCTTCCACCTCAGCATTGAATTTCTCGATGACAGGCTCTTCGCGCCGAGCTTCCTGCTGATTGCTCTGCGCAAGACGTTCCATGAATGCGTCGGCCTCGGCGGCGTAGCGGCAGCGCTTCCGGATGCGTGCGCCGTACAGATAAAATACAATGGGTATTGGGACGCAGGCTAGTGCCAGGAACGCGGGAATCGATGACGCCCAATGAATCCCTAAGCAGCAGTTAGCAGGGTCAAACGAAGCGGGGCATCACGTGACTTACCCAGCCCTGAGTAGAGGTAGCTGGTGAAGAGGGGAAAGGCTGCGCCAAAAAGAGACCGGAGGGCGGAGTTTGCTGCCAGAACAGACGCAGAGTAGATGGTATATGCATCGATCAGGTAGTTGAATACGCTGAGAAACACAAGAACTAGCCCGAACCCAAAGGGTGCTCCAGCGACAATCGAGGCCATCCAGTGAATTGAGGGCGAGTTGGTCCAGGCGAACCAGAAAAGACCGATGGGCAAGGCAATGGCGCCGACGATACTTGGAGGCAGACGGACTTCGGGAGGAAGGCGACCCGTTGTTTGTCTGCATAATTTGGCGTAGTGCATGTTTTCTGGAAATGTGTAGATGACAGCGATAATCATACCGACCAGGATTCCTAGGAAAGCCAATCCTCCAATACCCTCATTCCAACCTCGGGCCTCCTGGAAGACGATTGGAAAGGCGGCAAAGCAAAGGTACAAAATGCCGTAGATGATGGCCATATATACGCAAAATAGAAACACGATAGGCTCACGGAACAGAAGACGCCATGGGCGCGAGAGTGCCGTAGTCAAAGTCTGCTGCAGCGACAGCTTACCTCGTTCGATGTCCAGCTTACTACGGTAGACCTTGCCACTCAGTTCAGAGAGCTTTTCAGCGCGCTTGCGTAAGAGGACGGGGGCGTATGTTTCGGGAAGAAACACACAAAGGCATATCCAAATGACACCCGAAAAGATGGCCAAGAACCCTTCCACCCAGCGCCAACCAGCGCCAGAGCTGAGGAAACCCCCGATGATCGGACCGATAGCTGGTCCGCAAAGAGGTGCGGCAGAGAAGAGGCTGATAGCAATGCCTCGTTTGGCGGCCGGGAACATATCGGCAATACTTCCACCTGCATTGCCAAAGGGAGACGATCCGAAGAAACCAGCCAAGAATCGCAGGATGATCAATGTTTGGATATTCTCAGAGCCAGCACATCCAGCGTTGAAGGCTGTAAGTAAGCAAAAAGTGATGGTGAAAACGTTGCGACGGCCAAATACTTCGCTCATCGGTGCCCAAATCAGCGGTCCGAACGCAAAGCCAAGGACGAAAAGGGATATTCCCAGAGTAGTGACTTCTCTTGACGAGCCTAACTCTTTCATGACCTGGGCCATGCCTCCCGAGTATGCAGAAGATATCAATGCAATCGTTAGGGTAGTCAAGGAGACCAGGATCGTGAGCGACCATTTCAGGATAGAGCTGAAATTCATCGGATTGCGCGAGTCACCAGGAATCCAAACAACTACAAAGGGATCATCATCGGTGCCTCTTCCAGCGTAAGGATGATTGATCACCTCGTCGGTGACCACCTTTTGATCAAAGACCAAGCGCCGATACGGGATCTTGGAGGCTTGAGACGCCTCGCCTTCAAAGGCCATAGTTGGCGCGGCGACTACAGTAATCTTCTGTTAGTGACCGCATAATCAAGAGCTAGTAGGTTCATATTGAATCTTAGAAAGTTCATAAAACTCACCTATCAATTTCTGATTCGATTGGAGATTGCAGAGATCATTTGGTCTGCGCTCTGTTCTCTGAATATTAGGATGACTCCTTTCCCGGATGCGTCTTCATTTCCTCTTCTCTGTTCGCCTTGGATGAAGATCGCCGGGTATATTTTGAACAACTGGAACTAGAAGGCATAATGAGATGATATATGGTAACGGTATCGAGTGCCGAAAGAAGCCTCGGCAAGAAGCGAAACAACTGAATTGTTGATTATATTCCAACATTTTCACGAATCAGAGATTGCAGAGATCTAGTTTGACGCCTAAATCCCAGTAGTCAATATACCTTACGCAATAATACTGAAAAGCTCGAATGTTATTCGAGACTCTTGTAGGTTGCGGGTCCCTTATCCGTGAGATGAAAGCCATAAATACGCCTCTGTCTCCACTGGCAATCTTGAATTTGAAGTCAAACATACTGACCATTATCAGTCATCAATACGGTTGTCATTGATTTTCCGGATCCCGGCAAGATGTTGGATGTCAACGAGAAGTTCGATCTGCATGATTATTTTCGGACATCGTGGTGGCTTGAACGTCACCCTAAACCTGGTTTATTCTTTGAAATCTTTGCTTGGAGAAACAAGCAACGGGACCCAGGGCTCGGCAACCGGGCCCAGGAGTGTACCTGACACCGAGAAATGGGTTGAGTATATATGTTCAAGACATGAAACACTTCAGCATCGCTATCTGTTATTWTCAAACCTCCTCTTCTCATTATCCTGATAGTTCCCTTGGGTAATAACGCTGTTTCGTTCGCCATACCCGACCTATCCTGGTGTCTGGACTCAAAAACCAGAGACCGGCAAAATCTTGCCGATAAGCGGGCCCACCAGGTGGGCGAGCTTCAAGATATACCCGGAAGTTTGCTGCCGGGCCAATTGAAGACGATATTATGTGTTCTCAAGAGCAAATGCCCAAGATTTGTTGTACAGGTGCTTCTTCTGATTGCTTCTGGATTGCACGATGGAGGAATTATTGTGGACAAGAAACAAACGCTGCTTCGACAGTTCTATTCGTTTTGCGACGTAGAGTTTTGCGTGGATATTCAGCACAGATCACTCCTTTGTTCGCGCGAACTAGCTGTATGATGAAAAGAAGCATAATCTATAAGAACTAACTTTGGCTCTGGCCATCTTCCGTAATAATGAAGCAGCTCTTTAATCTTCAAAGATGGAGGCATTAGTTAAGCCTTAACTCCCATCTTAAGCAGAAGCGGGGAGAATCTGGTACCGCTGATCATTGGAGGGTGCTATGCTAAGAGGAGTCCAGCCTATCCTTTTATTATATCCAGACTCATCCACATAAACAAGATGATACAATCTAAAGTCAGAGATGAAATGAAAGTATGCATCTCATAGATCTAACTTTCACTGTTTTGCCCTTTCGCGGTCATCTTCAACCAGCATTCATATTTAAGGGAGTGACTAATGCTGGAGATTAGCTATCATCTCTACTTAGAACTCATCCCATATGAAAAATTACCATCTCATTAAGGTATAGACGTGGCTTTTCAAGCAGATGATCACAGAGTACTTAAATTATAACTGGCGTGAGATTCTATGGCCAAGCAAGAACGGGCTAAATTGCCTTTTTTGAATAGAATACACTCGTAGCCAATCAGATTATCCCCGGACGTCGATGCCCGTGAAAAGGTACATGAAACCCGCGTGGGATATACACGCGGGATAGATGTCAAGATTGACTATTGTAGTTGGAGATGATATAAAGACTGTTCGCTATCTGCCGGGTTATGGCGATTCTTAACTGCAGTCGCTCAAATGTCTGAAACAATCACCCATATCGTCCTCTTCAAGTACAAACCCTCCATCACATGGAGCGAATTCGAGAGACATTTTGAGGTCTTCTTGGCCCTTCAGCACAAATGCGTCAAGCCAGATACCGGTCGACCGTACATGAAGAGTATGAAAGCTGGTCTGTCAAAAATGCTGCACCTTTCGTCTGCAGCCACTGACCATGTGCAGGCAAGAACCGAAGCTGGGAAAACTTCAGCAAAGGAATGACGCACGGATTTGTGCTGGAGTTTGAGAATCAGGACGATCTTGATTATTACTTGACGCAGGATCCAGTGCATCTCCAATTCTCCAAGGATGCAGCGCCCATGATGTATGTGTTTTTGACCCCGTATCTGAATATCGAGCTGACGTGTGGATAGTGAGGACTCGGTTGTCGTCGGTAAGTGCAGAATAATTTGCAGGAAATAACCACTAACTGTGTACCTAGACATCAAAGACGGCATTCTCTTTGGCCCTGGTGCTACCAAGCCCAGTGTCAACGCGGGCATCTTCAACGGTAGCTGTCACTGCGGCACCTGTACTTGGACTGCGGAGATCAGTGAGCCCTCACACATCCTTTGTCACTGCGAGACATGTCGAAAGCTCGGGGGTGGGCCATTTTCCATGAATCAGATTATCCATCGGGTGTGTAGAACCTTCCAAGTTCCAGAAGCCAATGCTCATCATCTATTACATTGCGCTGTGCTGATACTCCCAAGGACCAACTGCGGATCCTCACTGGCACCCCGCAATGCTACACATACACTGGAGCCTCCGGAAACCCCGTCCATTGCTACTTTTGTCCGCGGTGCACGTCGCACATCTACCATCACCAGGTCGTCATGGGAGACAAGATCATTGTCCGAACGATCCTCTTGGACGGAGGGCAGAGGATGCTGCCTGGGGGTGAGATTTTCGCTGAGGGGAAGTTGTCATGGGTGGATCAACTGGGGGAGGAGCTGCATAAAAAGCTTTAGAAGTAATGAAAAGCAGCCTTGAAAGCTTGTATAATAGAATAGCTACCGGCCAGAAAGAGTGCATATCATGACCACCACTCAGCCACAATAAATAGTTCAACCCCATTCAGATTGAGCAACCTTCTCAACTACCTCCCTCTCCACCAGCAACATGAACCTCGTCAAGCTGCTCTCCTCTCAAGAAAAACATTTTGTAAGTATACTGCAGGAAATGGTCTCTAAGCAGCTTCTACCCTCAGAGATATCCAACAACATTTTGAGCAAAACAACTGGCTCGTAAAACAGTCTGCGGGGAGACGAGATATAACCAGTTGATGATTCTTTATCGGATAACAAGTAACTAAATGGAAATATGCAAATTGCACAAACCATTCTTCATGACGAGAGTGCAATCTGCATATCCTTTGACGTTCTGTTGATACTTTTAGAAGCTGCTAGTCGCTCCTCAAACGATGTATCCACGCAGACTCATGACAGGAATAAGCATGGATTGGTCCTCAGTCTCTATTCTGCCCGAGGCTGAGTGAAAATCACAGCCCGGGTGTAATCTTGTTGTTCCTGCTGTGACTGTTCAACGGACAGTAGCAGGCGTGTGGTACGGATATGCAGTTCTGTATTCGATGGTTGTCAGCATCGGCTCTGGCTCGCGGAGTAGCGGCAACACCAGAGTCCAGACCTTCAATGTCCACCTCATAATTGACAGGTGCCATCTCATCACGATGCACAAGAATAGGGAATTGCTGATCAGATATCTCTTTCTGTCGTACTCGAAGCTTGAGACCTACGTTCTGGCCTGCGTCGACCCATAGAATTGGACCGTCACTTGAGCAGCTGGTGGTATCGCTACTACGCCTCTGTTCTTGATCCTTTAACCAGTCTCGGAAGAGCCTGACCACCCCGTCTACGACCTCGATGGCGCTTAAAAGGAGATTAGTTCCGGGGACTACCTTCACCACACTCACGACAACGCATAGCTGGGAGAAATTCTCGAAATCTTCGAGATTGACGGGCCTTGTCACAGGCGTATTTTCTTTACCGAGTTCACCCTCACAGAGGTCTATCAGCGTTGTTGTCAGCCTGGTCCAAACACACGGCTTTCTTCCTTCTGGGTCTGTCACGCAAGCCTCATACCCGAAGATGGAGTTGCCCTCGCTCCGCTAGGCCTTTGCTCAATGGTCACTTCTGGACGAAATCGAGAATAGAGAGAGGTCAGCCTTCCTAGTCGCTTGGCTGTGTCTACGTCCTCGTACAACGAGCCCTTCCCCTCATATCGGTCGCTTAAGCCATCTGTGCCCAGATACTTGCAGAACACGTGGGGTTCGGTAAGCTTAGAGCTTGGGTGAAAGCATTCGAGGATAAGCTTGTACTCTTTCAGAGCCGCGGCTATCAGAAGACGATAATGAATGATGCGTAAGACCAGGGCGTGAAAGCGTTGGGAGATGGTCGCTAAAGGGAGCAGGCCACGGGTGGAGAAGAGAGATAGGATGTGCACAAAGACCTAAGAGTCCGAAATGAGGGATATTAGTCTACAGGAAGGATTTAAGGTTATTATCCCTCAGGGGAATACCTCATTTGGCAGATCATAGAGATGAAGTTGCGAAGTCGTGCTGGAAGCCATCCTGCTGCTGTTCAGTCCAGGCTCGATGACGTGGGGATCCCGGCGTTCGGACGCAGTTCATCCAGACAATAACGGCGCATCATAAGAGTCACTTTAATCATGAGACTGATCTCTCACAATCTCACGGACAGACACAATTCGAATATCAAAAGCAGACCAGGGTGTGGCTGATAAGCGTTGCTGATAAGATCAACAGAATTGCCCCTCATTTATCCGAAGCTTCTTGGGTTCTGGGTAGTCTACTGACGTCAGCCCGAGTCCATCGCGATGATGTGTTCGGCTCGGCAGGGAAAATTCGGCTGCCCGTTCTTCAAGAGGAAAATGGCCCGGTTTGTGATTGAGCCAAGGGTACGGGGTGACATGGCTAAATTGAATTTTACCGAGGCCAGCTTGAGCTCTCCTCATATGTCTTGATTGGTTGCGCTGGTGTCGGGTTATTTGACTCCGTGGGACATTGTGGTATGGATTTCGACCTTGGAATCAACAACAGCTCTCTTGAACAAATTCAGACGAGGACATAACATCAATCAGTGAGCATGCTAAAAAGAGAGCAGCTATGGATAGACTAAATTGCTGATCTATCCGACCATATTCAGCCGAGCGCGTGCTGAGTGAATGGAAACAAAATAAACCGGGCGGAGACCCCGCGACAACTTTTCCGGAGCCCCGCCGCTTTGACCGGCTTCCTGGTTGGGCAGATGACATTGAAACGCTTTCTCTATTGAACAGTTTTCCTTTCCATTTCTTCTCTTCTTTTCATTTCCCAGGTCCCTTGTCTTTCACTCTTTCGTTGAAACTCCCCTCAATTAGCTACAATGGTGGAAAGCGTTCTCGACGACATCTCACACCGGAGGTTCAACCCTCTCCGGGGATCTTACATCCTAGTTTCTCCTCACAGGACCAAGCGCCCATGGCAGTAAGTTGGGAAAATATTATTGAGTGACGAGACATCATTGACTAAGCGGCCGCGCAAACAGAGGACAGCAAGAGAGCCCCTCCAAGACCACCTTGCCCGCTTATGACCCTGCTTGCTATCTCTGCCCAGGTAACAAGCGCGCGCAGGGAGACACCAATCCCAAGTATGAGAAGACGTTTGTCTTTGTCAACGATTACAGCGCCGTCAAGGAGGAGCAGGCTTCTTATAACCCTGAGGGCGGAGATAGTGCGTTCCCAGATGCAGAAGCGAGGAGACGACGGAGCCGTTGCTAATGCGCAATCCTTCTAGGTGCCGAGTCGTTCTTTCTCAAGGCGGAGCCTGTGACGGGCAAATGCTATGTGTTGACCTTTTCTGCGGCCCATAACCTCACCCTGGCAGACTTGTCGCCAGCCGAGATCGTCCCTGTCATTGACGCATGGACCGAGATCTACTCGGCCCATTTGTCGCCCAAGTCTCCTCTGGCCGCCGTGGCTCCTGCGACCACACTCCCTCCCAACTCCCCATTCGCCAGCTTATCCAAGCCCAAGGAGCAATACCGGTATATGCAGATCTTCGAGAACAAGGGTGCTGCTATGGGCTGCTCGAATCCCCACCCCCACGGTCAGGTCTGGACCACCAGCTCGCTGCCCGAGGAGCCAGCGATGGAACTGGAGCAGCTGAAGAAATACCGACGGGAGCACCAAGGCAAGCATATGCTGGAAGAGTATGCCGCCCTGGAAAGCCGGAAGCAGGAGCGCGTCGTCTTTGAGAACCAAGCGTTCCTGGTCGTCTGCCCTTGGTGGGCAACCTGGCCGTTCGAAACCATGATCGTCAGCAAGAAGCACAAGCGCGCGCTCGTTGACCTCAATGAGAACGAGAAGGCCCAGCTGGCCGAAGCCATCGCCGAGATCACCAGACGGTACGATAACCTCTTCGAGACGCACTTCCCTTACAGCATGGGCATTCACCAGGCGCCGCTCGAGGGCACCGATGAGGAGATCGAGGCTTCGTACCTGCACCTGCATTTCTACCCTCCACTGCTGCGCAGCGCAACCGTGCGGAAATTCCTGGTCGGGTAGGTCCACTACAATTCGCACCTTTGATATGTCTGCTAATCGCCTCCAGCTATGAGATGATGGCTGAGCCTCAACGTGATATTACCCCTGAACAAGCCGCTGCGAGATTACGCGGTTGCGGAGGAGAGTTGTACAGGAAGAAGATGGACGGATGAGACGAGTCAGAGGAACCAAACTTTTGTATAAATAATTAGGTTAGTGCTAGGAATACCCATATCATATCAAGCCCAACAGTTGTAGACGAGGTATCGTATCCATTGAGAAGGTCAAGACCAAGGAGCATTATTTATTCTCTACGCAGAGAGATAAGCTTCCCTCTGCGTCAACATCCAAGTCAATGTCGAGGACGCAACAATCAACGGGCTCACAAACCGCCCCTTGAGCTGCGCGGTACCGAAAACCAACCACTCGCCGATAAAGTGTACAAGGGCAATACCGAAGGTCCAGATTGCAAGGTCGTATACAGCGGGAGTTGTGATGTGGTAGGCCGCGTACATGCGGACGACGGCGGAAAGGAAGGTCCAGGTGCCAAAGGTGCGGGAGGATAGAGGACACACGGACGAGCGGCCATCAGCAGTTCTGCCGTTGTAGAGTGATGCGGCGTAGTTGTCTGAGCGATAGGCTTCGAGGCTATTGATTGCAGAGACGACGGAGACCTGTTCAGCAAGCATTGGTCAGTTGTGGTTCTGTTGGGATTCTGTTTACAGCAGAGCCCAGTCAGTAAAGACGCGTACCAAGACGAGCCATTTGGGCAGAAGGCCCTCGAAAGGGGGTAAGTAGGAGAGGAGACTGGTCATTATGTAGATGGAAATGCAATTGGTATTAAATCGATTAGATTACAGCGAGCAGTCTGCCTGGCATATGCCTCTACCTTGTGGACGACGAAGGGTGAACACCAGACTAAGGGGCCTGAAGTACGGCGGACTATTGGTACAGCAGGAACAAATATACCCGCACCCTCCAGAGTAGGGAACATTAAATAACTTTGAGCACCGAATCGTCATAGACTAGGGATATTGAATCCTTAATAGATATCAGGTCGTCGTCATAGAGTAGTATGTCGCATTCCAGGGCGGATATTGAATACTACCCTACAGAGAGGTATGTCTTTTGGATATGCTGCGCTTCTAGTGGGTCCCCCAACTGCTGTCTTTCTACTTCGTATATCTATGAGGGACTATTATATGAGTATTCCATATTCTTGGTATATATGCATTCGATATTCGTACTATAGGATGATTAAAATCAGGCTAAATGATGATTCAATATCCTAATATACATGCCATTGAATATTCGTGGAGGTAGTACCATTGAGCGAACAAGTAGAAAAGTGATGAGCTCTTTTCGTAGAAGCTGTCCGCCGCATTTCTGCCGAGGATGTTCTCTCTTGGCGCGATGTTTCTCCCAACAGTTTTGAGTTCTCCGCGTCCGCCGCGCTCCTTCAATTGATTATAACATTGTACTCCCGCCGACAAGCTTCTTTATTCTAACAACTGCGGCGTTAGTACGGGAGAGGTCGTCACCATGGAGTTTCTATCGAAGTATACAGCTTGTTTGTCCAATTGGGGGCTCAACCTTGAGCCCGGCGTACAGACTGTGGTGGCTGCGGTCCTGCTTACAACGGGGAGCTTGTTTATTGCTTCGCGAGTTTTGACTTTTATCAGAGTGCTCTTGAGCTTGTTTGTGCTTCCAGGAAAGCCGGTACGTTAAATAATACTATGCTTGATGCTAAAGTCCACAATCGTACTAACCGTAGTCAGCTCCGCTCGTTCGGCCCCAAGGGTAGCTGGGCAGTGGTTACAGGTGCCTCAGATGGATTAGGCAAGGAATTTTCTCTGCAGCTCGCTCGCGCCGGCTTCAACATTGTGCTCGTGTCCCGGACTGCCTCGAAGCTCACCACGTTGGCCGAGGAGATCACCACCAAACACTCCGTACAGACCAAGACGCTGGCAATGGACTTTGCCGCCAACGATGACGCGGACTACGAGGAACTCAAGGCGACAGTAGATGGACTGGATGTCGCCGTCCTAATCAACAACGTCGGCAAGAGCCATGACATCCCTACCCCGTTCGCGCTGACCCCCGAGGACGAGATGACGGATATTGTGACCATCAATTGCCTGGGCACCCTGCGCACTACGCAGTTGATCATCCCCGGCATGATGCAGCGCAAGCGCGGTCTTGTGCTGACGATGGGCTCGTTCGGTGGGCTGCTCCCCACCCCTCTACTGGCTACGTACTCTGGCAGCAAGGCCTTCCTGCAACAGTGGTCGACATCTCTTGGCTCCGAGCTCGAGCCGTACGGCGTCACGGTCGAGCTGGTGCAGGCGTACCTTATCACCTCGGCCATGTCGAAAGTGCGCCGGACCAGCGCGACGATCCCTGACCCGCGGGCCTTTGTCAAGGCTGTGCTGTCCAAGATCGGTCGCAATGGAGGGTCTCCGGGCTATGCGTACAGCTCTTCGCCATACTGGAGTCATGGTCTGATGGCCTGGTTCTTGACCTGTGTAATGCAGCCGATGGGCAAGCTCGTCGTCGGCCAGAACAAGTCCATGCACGAGGCCATTCGGAAGCGTGCTTTGCGTAAGGCGGAGCGGGAGAAGGGGAAGAAGAGTACTTAGCTAGGACGGGGCATTGGTGGACTTTCCGATTGTATGTACCCTGACTAAGCCAGCTAATGTTGGTGACTGCATGTGGATTAAGGTCCAATGTTGGAGGACATGTGACCGAAGCCTGATAAGATTATCAACAAGGATGAATGACGAAAAGATTCATTAGAGTGTACTCCACCATATAGATCCTATTATGGAACAGCCGACCCAGATTTGGATTATAGGCCTTCTTCTAGTGTAACGAGGTCAGGTAAACGCATGGCCAATGGCACAAGCCTTTATCATGTCACTACATGCCTTTGCCCGATGGGATGCTAACGTCATGGCCTATGGAGTATCTAAGGACAAGGTCATGAGGAGGATAAGAGCCAACACTGGTCCTTCGGTAAATGCTGGGCCTGGTATCTTGTGTGCTGCCGTAAACCTCTGGAAGTCTGGATCCCAGCAATATAGCAGTCAGCGTAGAGTATCTGATTCTACACTCTGCGTCCATTACACTTTATCACTCAAAGTAACCCTCTAAACCGAACAAGAACTTGCCAAATGATTTAGTGAAACTACAGAGTTACAAACAATGGTATACACCATTCCATCCTTGCATCGTTGTATAGACCAGATATCTCATCATCGGGCTCGGATATCCTTCTGTCTACGTCTGTCCAAAGCAATGCAATAAATGTCTGAGCTTGTAAAAGTGGCACGATAATTTGCTCTTTTTCAGATAGTGTGCCCAATGCAGACTACGCCATGAGACTTGTATCAGCCGTAACAGCTACAACAGCAAATATTGCCACCATGCACAATCACAGTGTCGACGGTCGACGCTACTGCACGAGTCGGCCCGTCACTTACCGAGTTGAGTGAAGCGGCATGCCGAAGCTCACCGAAGTCTAAAACAGTCAACTAATCTGTGATCGCCGAGCTATCAAGATTACGTCTTGAAATTCCAATCCCAGAAGAACCGGTGAATCTCCGAAGACTATATGTTGCTCAGTACGTCAGATGGATCCTTGGTCGTGTATCTAGCCTACTAAGACCAGGGTAGGAAAGAGAAAAGCCAAGTTCAATGGCTGACGATGATGCTGATCGCCTGGTTCCTGCTTCTAGATTGATTGGACGGGTATTACGGAAGACTTCGGACGCTAAATATAAATCGCATTGTCGTATTCTGTACTCGGTTGTTTTAGTTACTGATCATCAGCCTGTTGATCAACGGATGCGCCCCGCTGACTGATTTTTCTTTGTGGGTCTGTGGTGGTCCCATTGAGGAATCAGTAGACGATGCTGAGAATTATGGTCTGGTGCTTGAGAAATGATTCTTTTCAGATTTAAGATGGAAGAGACGTGTGTTTAGGCTCAGTTATAGCAACTCTTGCTGTGGAAAAGAAAGAGGATAGTTTAATGCTACAAGACAGATTACACATAACAGAGTTAGCATGAGTTCGAAGAAATCAGATGAGATAGAGATAAGTGAGCACTATGAGGACTAGGTACAAGAAGACCCACTATGAACTAGTATGATGCAGATCCACCATCGGTGAGCCAGAAACAGACGTGCAAAATTTTCATGGCTCGGGCTGGGCTTGCTGTGCTCAATCGGCACACCGAAACCTTTCAATCCCGAGTCCGAATGGGCGTGCCGATCGGTCGGAGTCCGTCGCAGCACAGATAACCATGTCAAATCATGTCATTCAGAACCAGCACACTCTCTGCTTATCTGTTCGCAGAACATTGATCTTGAGATGTTATCCGGAGTCATAGTAGTGACTAGGAATCCATATCTACAGAATTGACAAGGTATAAATCTACCACTCCCTCCCTCCACCACTCTTTCCTGCCGTTCTTTCTTGTCCTGGTCTCGGCATCGTCTTCTCGGGATCAATAGCAGAATTCTTCCCGATGGCCCCACCGAATGATCTAGTGGTCAGCTAACCACAAGCTACGGAGAAGGCGCTGCTCTAAAGCCTTGAATCATGATCTGCCTCGACCTTGGGAAGGTTTCGCTTGGCTGAGGCCGCCAAATAATACAACTTACTTTTAGTCAATGTTACAACACAAAAAAGAAATAAAACACAAGGGAGGCGCCGATGGTGGATCCCCTACTTGATGCTGCACTTTAGCTGGCCTGGATCCTGAATCAAGGGATCTGAAGGGGTGTAAAATGAAACCTCAAATGAGTTTGCAATCACAAACACAGCAACCGATATACAGGCAGTATGTCTCAATTGTATTCAAGATTCATAGAACTTTAAGATTGTAATTGAAAATGTAAGTAACTGTAGTTCTGTACGGAAGACTGTCCATTGCTCACGTGGAGTCCTAATCGGGAACTGCCCGTGGCATCACGGACTGTTGGAGACGTCGAAGCCTCAGACCCCATCGGCATCATCATCGCATTCCAATCACATCCGTCATTCAGATCTCCAAATTACTCCGTCCTTCCGACCTACCCAGGGACAACCTGATGAATAATCTCTGCATCGTGGAAATCACCAGTCCTCCTCTTCCTCCTCGCCTCCCCCCTTCTCCACTCACTAGAATTTTCCAAGAACACCACCCCTCGTTCTGGTCGTCGCTCCCCCTAGCTTCACTTGTCTGATGTCGTTGCGTACCGTCCAATCATCCCCGACTATTCGTTCACTTTCCGACTCTTCCAGATGGGGTCCCCATCCATTGTGCCCCTGCCATTCATCTGGCCCATGGGCGTACCCCGGGTGGAAGTCAACGCTGCCGACGGATGAAGACTTTTCAACGCTCTGACTCCGTATATAATTTCCCCTCACTCCCCCTCTTCTCTTCTTGCCCTCCTCCTCTCTTTCTTTTCCCTATCCCCGTGAGACTTGCCCCCCTCAGGAAGAACCGCCATCATGGGTGTCTCCAATCTACTATCAAAGTTCGGCAAGCCTGCCGTGGAACAGCATGAGGACTCGCAGGCTACTACTCCTGCTCGTGCTGACTCGACGCTGGAGAAGGACACTGGCCTCATGGATGACAGTCCCGTCAAGTATCTTACATGGCGGTCCTTCATCCTTGGTATTGTTGTCTCCATGGGTGGTTTCGTTTTCGGTTACGCAACTGGTAAGTGATTTCTCTAGAGTTGTCTCGTCGGTTACAGTCGCTCACAATGTCACTATAGGTCAGATCGCTGGTTTCACCACCATGGATGACTTCAAGAGACGATTCGC